AAAGCTTTTCAACAGGAAGTCATCAGATGTTACATGCTTAAAAAGAAGAACTCCTATGAGTTACAATAGCTTTATTTTACGGAGCCCCGCAGGGGACATGGGAGAAAAAAAATTAAGACGGACTTTTGCGAGATCTTTCAAAACTTTTGCGAGATCTCGCAAAACAAACTCAGGATCTCGCAAAACTTTTGCGAGATCTCGCAAAACAAACTCGGGATCTCGCAAAACCTTTGCGAGATCTCGCAAAAGTTGAATTCCAACAATGGTGGCAGCTGCTTAGTTGTAATATTACTCTTTCTGGGTCACAAAATAAACGTATATTTTGAGGCGTGAATGTAGTTGTGTAAACGTCAGATATCTGCTCGGTTTACAAGACATCACATATTTGCAAAAGTGCTCCGACGTTTTCGGAGATGTATGAAACGTTTGCGAGATCTTGCAAAACTTTTGCGAGATCCCGAGTTAGTTTTGCGAGATCTCGCAAAAGTCCGTCTTAATTTTCTTTCTCCCATGTCCCCTGCGGGGCTCAGTATTATTTGCATTGCAAAGCAAAGCAAATAAATGTTTTATTGGGCTGAATGAAGTATATGAAAAGCCAAAACATAATACCAACAGTTATAGACACATGGTCTCAGGACTCTATACTGTATAGTACTTTGGTTTGAGGACATGGTAGGTGATGTCTTTAGATATAAACCATAAGTCAAAATAAAGTAAAACCAATAAAGTGTTAAAATCTTATTGGCTCTACAATGAAAGACTGAGAAAGAAAGAGTCTAACATCGATCGATTGCAACTTCCCAATGAGTCCTGAGTGGCACCCTTTTTCACGGAGGTAAAAGCCCTCCACGAACAAGGCTAATCTGGCAGGGGCTGGGCTGCTTTGAACACCAGTTTTCCGCTGAACCCTCCTTAGGGAGGAAAGTCCCCGGAGACCTGTCAGATGCTGGAGGGCTGAACAGATTTCAGTGCAGGGAAAAAGTGGGCCGGCAGGGCTTCTTTTCTCCGCCAAGACGTGCAGTTCACACTCGTTTTATGTTTTTGACGTTTAAATCAACAACATTATGGGATGCATCTCCATCACTGATGCAATTAGCCTGATACAAGACTTCCATGCAATGGATAGGATCACCTTATAAAGTGTAAAGTTCAGATTTCACAGCTGTGGCAGTATTACAAGTTAAAATATTTTTTGACCTGTATTAGCAAATGAAGGCTTTCATTTTGTCCTATTGCTATGTATATACATAGAGAGAGAGAGGATTATTTTTACCATAACAAAGATGTGTACTCTTTATCTGCCACTGGTTATGTGTGAATCATAAATGCTTTGTAATATCTGTACCACTAGGTAGCACTGTGGAGCTCTTTATTGTCTGAGAAGAAGGTCCTCAGCTGCTCTATGATGTCATCCTCAGCCAAGTTACCATATGAAACACACCCTGTTTACACAGACGCACGCACACACACACGCACACACGCACGCACACACACACAAAGCCCCACTACATAATTATTGGATCTCAACTCAAATTATTGGAATAATATCACTGGTACTTATCTGGAATCTAGTAGAGTTAGAGTGAAATCAGTGGGAAACAGGAAAGTCGTGGGAGAGTTAGCCTTTAGTGTTTTGATTGCTGTGAGACTGTGGGCGCAAGGGGCCCACCCGAGGGAGGTGGAAGCTGTGGATGAGAGGGGAGGAGGAGGTGGGGAAGGAAAAATAATAGGAGGACAAGAAGAAGTGTGTGTGTGTGTGTGTGTGAAGAAGAGGAGAAAGAAAGGACAACACAGGGAGAAGCCACTCCTCGCCTAGCTCAGCCCCTCTACCGCAGTGAAATCAAATTCACTGACTCACTCTGAAGTCGTCAGCTCATGTGAAAGAATAATGATCACAAAGACACTGACGGCGTGCTGGTGAGCGTTGGGGCTATTAGTTGGCCAATGCTTCCAAGAAGACACGGCCCAGCTTTAGCCAATCACTGTTTGGACAGCGACTCTGCAGGCCTTTGTAGAGACACATGCAGACTGCTGGATGATGAGTCAGTAGACAGTCAGCACAGAATACTTTATCTCAGACTCCTCAGATTCCAGTCTTACTATAAACAATTCATGCCAGCGTACATGCTCAGATGTGACTTCAATTCAGGTTTATTTATACCGCGCCAAATCACAAAATCACCTCAAGCACCTCAAGGTGCTTTAGATTGTAAGGTAGACCCTATAATAATAAAAACAGAGAAAACTTCAACAATCATATGACCCCCTATGAGCAAGCACTTTGGGAAGTGGGAAGGAAAAACTCCCTTTTAACAGGAAGAAACCTGGACAGAACCAGGCTCAGGGAGGGGGGGGGCATCTGCTGTGACCGGATGGGGAGACTTGTGCCAAACATGTTCATTTGAAAGTATTATTGTGTGATGATATGTGTATGATGATGATGATGATGATGGAGCTGAGACAGCTGGCCATTGGCTGGCCTTTATGAGATGAGACATTAATAGGAAATATATCATCAAGCCTTTATAATTTTTCATCCATAAATCAGAATTTCTATTAGTATTATTAGTATCATTATTAGTAGTATTATTAGTAGTATCAGTATCTCAAAATCTTGAGTTACTCAGAAGTCAGTTGAAATTTTGAAATAATTATTCGAACTTGCTAGTTAGCGCTGCCTTATGTAAATTTTTATTTTCATTTTATTTATTTTTATTTTGTTTTTACATTTCTATTTATTTTTCCACTCATTTTCAGTAGCCATAGTCATTAGCATAACACACACAATTATTGTCAATATGATTAAAAAAAACATATATATAAAAAATAATTAGTAACACTAAAATCAACATCCTAGTATTATCAGCATGAGCGTGTTAGCATGTAGTTATTAGCTGTAAGCTCAGTTGCTAGCATGTCTGCTAACACGGCAGTGGAAGCTTTTTCGCTGTTTTCTGTGGTAGCTGATTGGCTTATTCTCTTTGTGTGTCTACAACTAATAAAAAGGGCACAAATAAAACCCATTAGAAACCAGATAGGAAAGTATTAAAAGTGTTAAACATCAGTTTTTAGCTGAATGTTTGTTTGTTAAGCCATGCTAATGTTTGGTCTGTATTTTACAGGCACGATCCCAAAAACTAATTCAAGTATACAAAAACCTACACTGATATTCAGGTAATGTATTAAATCAAGGAGAAGATTTTTAATTTACCAGAATTTTGACTGTTCACTTCAGTGAAATAAAATAAAAACGCTTGTCAGCAAGTCCATTTGTCTGACATCCTGCAGCCAGAACAGCATGAGACAGAAACACCTCTTTAATGGGCTTGTCAAATGGAGTAACACCATTACAAAGTGTTGCCGGTTGGGTGTATGCATGCATGCACCCAGATGATTACGTACCTTTGCACAAGCATTTTCGTCCGTCACTTTGCTCTGCACCGACACCCTGCGTGAACGCCACCGGGCACGGACGAGTCTGTGTCATGTGAGAAGCTGTTGTGTGCCACCTGGTGTGACTGAGCTGACAGGAGAGTGGAGACAGTGAAGAGAGAAACTAAATTGGCTGTGGCCTCTGTCTCAGGAGTAGCCAGCCCCTGGGTTAGGCGGGCTATTCTTATAGAGGGCAGTGAGAGGTCTCCAGCTCTCCTGATACACAAACCACTTTATAGAATCCCACATCATGTTTTGATGGTCTACTGGGATTACGAGGGAGGTATTATCCAATGAAAAGTGTAAGAATGGAAGAGGAAATGGAACTATACGAAGGTGGATTTCTCTGTGGGTACAAGGCCACTTCTAAGAGGAGCCAAAATTACCAAATGCAGTCTTGAAATCTAAAAATATCCTATGATGTAAACCATGGCCTGTAATATAAAGGCCCAGGTAGAACCAGTTATTTACACAGTTATTAAAAGACTAAACATTGGCAAGTTCACAGGATACTGCGCTTCAGTGAGCCTGCTCAGATTGTTAGCACATAAGAGGAACCAGTTAGCTTAATGGTTATTAGGTTTGCTATAATTATCCTGTGACCAAAAAGCAAACAAACAAAAAAATGTTGATTTCATGTTTTCTCATCAAATATACTCTTGTGCCACTTCATTAGGTATAATGTTCTACTGCTCATTAATGCTACTGTCTAATCAGCTAATCAGTGACTGATGTAGACATGGTTGAAACAACCTCCTGAAGTTCAAACCAAGTAGAATGAGGAAGAGAGGTGATTTGTTGATGCTAGACATGCTAGTCTGAATTTGAATCCAGGAACAGCAGATCTGCTAGGATTTTCGGACACTACCATCTGCTCACTTGGCAGTTTTCTGGGTGAAAATACCTCAATGATGAACATTCAGAACAACATTCAGAGAGTAGGGTCCAAATTTGGTGTAAACATGAAAGCATGGATCTATTCGGTCTTTTATCAGGCTAGCGGTGAAATGGTTTGAGGGGCATTTCCCCTTAGTAACATCGGAGCATCATTGAAACACTACAGCCAGCCTGAGTATTGTTGTTGACCAGGTCTGCCCCTTTATAACCACAGCAAACCCATCAGAAGATGGGTTTGCTGTGGTTATCCAGCAGGATGGGTCTGATGGGTCATCCAGCAGGATGACGCACTATGTCATAAAACTCGAATCATCTCAAACTGGTTTCTTGAACATGACACTCAAATGTCCTCCACAGTCACCAGATCTCAATCCAACAGAGCACCTTTGTGATGTGGAGGAACAAGAGATTCTCATCATGGATGTGCAGCAACTGTGCGATGCTTTCATCCCCTTGGATGAATAAGGACAAAAATCTCTGATGAATGTTTCCAGCACACTGATCGATCTGTGCCACCCCCATCTGTCCAACCCAGTACTAGCAAAGTGTACCTAATGAAGTGCCTTGTGATTCTAGGTCATTTCTAAGTATATATATGAAAGTTTTATCAGTGTCTTCGCATTTCAGAAAACTTGCACACTCTGAACAAATAAGGTAATCATGACAGCACAGATAATGTCAATCTTTAATGGCAGATGGCCTGAAATGTCTTCATTTAACATTTTCATAAAAACGTCTCATTTTGATCATCTCCTTTTTTTTGTTTCAAACAAACAAACCTCTGCAATTCACTGAAATACAGTTTCTCCTTACAGCGGCTAAAGTACATAAATATCAACAGTACTGTATGCATTAGGAAAAAGGAAAAAGAACACGCACACACACATGCCGTGAACATGCACTGAACACACAGCTACACACGCGGTATACTAAAACAAGTAGAGAAATGATTTGTCACTGACAAAAGGAGGGGGAGGAGTCGTCTTATTCGTTTTTTCAGGAACTTTTGTACCGTACCGCTGGCGAAACACAAAAGACCCATTCGTTCGAGGAGTACATCTTCTTCTTCTCTGGATTTCACAGTGAATTATGCAGGTAAAACAGTATTCACATGTTACATACAGTATGCTCCAATCAGACCGATACAAACGAAGAAAAAAGCTCTAGTAATTCTTACCAAATGAAAATACAATTAAACTTACAATAATACTTACAATGAATTATATGATGGGCATTTTCTATGAACCTTAAAAAGACAACACCCATTAAAAAACACACATAACATTCACGCACGTTGTATAAATACTTGTTCTAATAAATCTGAGTGCCACACTCGGCTTAAAAATGTCTGTAAAAGCAAAAATAAAAACAAAAACAAAAAAAACCCTTCAGCTGATTTAATAGATATGATGCATATTATCATTAATTACAAACACTTGGCTACTGTATGATTCAACCAGTCCGATATAAGTGTACACAGAGGGGCTAAACATCACAGGGGACACTTGTCTCCTTACGGCATTTGATTGTCACATCAGCGTGAAATGCGACTTGGCCTTCGGAGACTGGTTTCGTATTAGCGAATGAATTTTGGCGTCACGGTGTCACAGAAATATGATCACTCGATGATATGTCATACAGCAAAGACGTTATTGCAAGATTACAAAAGATTGTTTTATCTTTTCCTTTTTTTTTATACATCTCACTCCAATCATTATTATGTAAATTCAAACTTTACAAAAGCAGGTTGAATCACAGCGGCTCCCTAAAAATAGACAAAAGACACAAATCGCTTAAAGTGAATATCCTTTCAGATGCAGAGTGGCTCTTTGGAGTGACACCAAAAGGGACATGCTGCAAAAATAATGTCATACTTCATAAGAAATCAGACTGAGGACTACAAAAGTAGTCAAAAATGGAATAACCACTAGCCTAGATAGCTCTCCAGTGTAAAAAAAGCAAAAAGAAAAAAAAGCTTTGGTCTTGTTTCTCTATACTGTGCTGCTGTCCTCCTGCTACACAGCGAAGGAGCGATTTCCTAATTATAGCAGAGCTCAGTTTGCCGCGTATTGCCATCACGCTATACGTGACATTGGGGTCACGCTACCTTCCACCGGCGATGGCTTTTTCCTGTCAGTGCCTCTTTTCACACATCTGATTACCTCAAACAGCCAAACTACGAGCCGGATCAGGTGCGTTTTGTCACTCAACGTTAAAATCGCTTCAGACAAAAGACTTCTGTGTTTCGTTTCGTCGGGTAAAGACGCCACAGAGGGACAAAAAAAAAAAAAAAAAACGACACATATGAGCGAATCAAAATTCCTTTTGGAGCAGAGACAAGAGCAAAGTGGCAGGACTGCTTTGGTATAGCAGGGCGACTTGTTTTAAAATGGCACCGAACAGAAAGGGAACAAAAAACAGAAAAGGTATAAAACGTCCTCACGAGATTTAGCACAACATAAATCAACCCAAACAAAACCGTTTCAAACATTGTCTTGATTACAAAAATACCTTTTTGTATTTCTTTAAAATATCTAAAAATGTACAGCATTGTTTTTTCGTTGTTTTCTCTCTCACGCTCTATTTTTTTTTGTTTTTTTTGCAAAGTCATGCGTCAACATGTAATTCCATAATCATAATAACATTAATATGAATGATATACAGAATAGTAATAATTATAGTCATATAATAACATTACTCAGTAGCACTTTAGCCACACTTCCGGGCGTCTGCAAAGTGGCTGCATAAAACAACGTTTGCACTCCTTTAAGGTGGCCGGCTTTAAACCCGCACGGAGAGGATGCAGAGACCAGCTAGGCGGGCGATGCAGTCAGTCGGTAAACAAAGAGCGCGGACGCCTTTGTTGTGCATGCCTGGTACCTTTCACGGAGGTGTCAGAGGAGGTGTAGCCAAGCGCTGCCTGTAAATTTACGTAACAGTATAAAAAACATTTGGAGGGACTTTCGGGGAGGGGGGGGACTCGATGTGTGATGGAGGCTGGGGTCTAGTATGTCCTGAGGCCCATGAGGCTGCTGCTGCCTGAAAGAGAAAGACAGAACGACAGCGGGGTGAGGCTGAAGTTCGCAATGCTAATGGGAACACCGGGGATTACGTGGAAACACTAACAGCCGTAAAAATCACACCGATTTTTTTAAAATCCCCACCCGATCCAATGCCAAGACCACACCCACATTCAATGCACGCGCGCTCTATCTCGAGCTTAAATTCTGGTGTATTTGTTCAAAACATTTCGCAAATCTCAAACATGCACAGATGAAAGTCGACACGGTGTCAGTACAGTTTGGCGCTGCTTCCTTCATTCAAGTGGATGTTTTTGACTGATGCTGTCTCTCAAATTTGTATTTTTTATTTTTTAAAAAGGACTTTCACACCTTTTCCTGCAAATCTACACTTTCAAAATCCCCCCTCTCCCCTGCAGCGGCCCGCTACACGGGCGACGAGGTGCGATCTACACCTTTTGTCCTCGCCTGTTGGGATCAACGGCTGTGACGTTCCGAGACGTAGAACTCACCGACGGTGCGCTGCTCCAGCAGCTGGAGTTAGGTCGGTCCTCCTGGTTTCTAATAGGACACGAGAGGCAATCGGCAACGCCCGTCACAGCCGGCCACGGCCACCATCACACATCAGGAACCTGAGCACACAAAAGGAGACAGTTGGAATAAATCCTTCTGATGATGTTTCAGAGGAGTGAATTTTGGTTTTATTTCAACAAAAATGTATGATTTTTAAATGTTCTCAAGCTCTTTGACTACTGGTATGACAAAGTTCAGCTGCATTGAACACACTGGCTAAGTATATGTTTGAAGGGCAACGCAGCAGCTTATTAGTGTCAGTTTTACAAAGTTACGCGTTACTGGTGTTACATTATATGTGACTGTCGCACTGGTGTTCCTGAATTTAATGATTAAAGTTGTTAATCGCATGATTTTGTTACTTTCACTACACAAATTCTCTATTTAATAATACAATAATAATAATAATAATACATTTTATTTAAAAATAGCGCCTTTCAAAGCACCCAAGGACACTGTACAACAGATAAAAACACAAAAACTGAAAATATACACAATAATAAAAATAACAGATAAAAGTTAAGAGTATACAGTGGTTTAAACATAAGCAATTTTAAACAGATGAGTTTTGAGGGTGGACTTAAAAAGAGGGAATGAAGTAATGTTTCTGAGGTCAGGGGGTAAGGAATTCCAAAGTCGAGGGGCAGAGCAACTAAAAGCCCTGCCCCCCCATTGTAATCAGACGAGCGGAAGGAACGGAGAGAGAAAGAGAAGATGAAGAAAATATTTATTTGCAAAAGAGAGAAAAAAGATAAACACAACTGTCTAACCTCATGGAGCGAAGACAAAAATGGCAGAGAGGTCAACAACTTTCGAATGGTGGTGATTACATGGTGGACATTACTTAGAATTTGTTGCACAAAGGGGAAATCATTTCTGACAGTAAAGGGACCCATGCCCAGGAACAAGATCCATTCTTTCCGATTGCCTGTAAAGGCAACACAATATTACAGAGCAGATATCAAAAGACCCCTGGATCCAGAGCGATAATTAAGCTGATTGTACAGTGTGGTGCAAAAGTCTTGAGCCTCCCATAATTTCTCTATATTTTACGTCTGAGGAACCAGACTTTCTAGTCATTTTTAAAGTGGTCTTGTGCAATAGTTCTCCGAGCTTTCTGAAAGTATTTCAAAGTTTTTATTTGAACACTGGCTGCTGGTTTCACTCATTTAGTCCAGTTCTTGACCATTTCGTTTATTTGCATATCCATGTAACACTGACCTATCAAACATAGAAAAGGCACAAAAATCAAGGGATGAACTAGAGTTTTGTCTACATAACTTGTTCTCGTTTATTTAAATAAATCTACAAAAATGTCAAAGATAATAATTTTGAAGGGTATAAAATAGTTATTTCTTCATTTTTCAGCATCTCAAACACACTTTTACAGAAACATACCTAGATGGAAAAACACACAATGACGCACTATCAGTCAAGGACTGGCCTCCTCAGAGCCCGGATCTCAACATTATCAAAGCAGTGTGGGATCATCGTGATAGGAAACAGAACAAAAGGTAGCCGACGTCTAAAGAAGAGCTTTGAATGTTCTTCAAGAAGCCTGGAGAACTATTCCTGAAGACTACTTAAAGAAAATTTGAAAAAGCTTTTCTAAGATAGTTCAGACTGTGTTGAAGAATAAAGGTGGTCATACCAATTATTGAATTTCAAGCTTGTCACTGTTTTTTCCTTACATACTCTATTTCCATGTATTTTTGCACGTATTTGCGCAAATTTCTGTGCCTGTTTTCAATTATCCTGGCCAAATATAAAGAAGTGAGGGGTGACTCAAGACTTATATATGTATATCAATCTGAAAGACTGATTTTAAACAAATACAGAGATATGCGCTGGTTCAGACATAGTAAAGGAAATCTTGCCTATGTTATACTTCTATAGTGACTTCTGTGTAACATCCTTTCTGGCTGGTTTTCCTGTGTTGACGCTAAAATAACAACACCAAAAAAAAACCCCCACTATCATATGTCTGCTCTACACATTAAGACAGGGAATTATGCCGGTATGTGTGCACATGAAAGGTTTAATGCTGTGTCATAACCTGGCACTTATGTGGAAATGTATCCTAGGCAATGTTGTGGAGTAACACAACAGTGATATAAGCAGCAGTGTAACTAATTTCTTTGTTACAGAGGAAAAATCAATAGCAGCTGAAAAAAAGTAGCGTATCTTGTTTCTTTAAAATCAGTAGCTCAAAAGAGACGAAACCAAGCAGCAGAAGACATCTTAAGTCAAGACTCAAGCCACACACAGTAATATCAGTCCATTCAGAAGTCTTTCAAGCTCAAAGTTTAGCATTGTCACAGGATGTCTGCCTGACAGCCAGATCTTCCACAAACCCCCAACCTCCACACTTCAAAGAGAAAGGTCAACGATGCAAGCTCCCACACCAGATGGATCACCAAAAATAGGAATTTGAGTTTGGGGGGACTCGGTGGAACAATAAACAATTACTAATCCAAATATGACCTTAAGAGAAAGAAGGAGCTGGATAGACTGTTGCAGGGAAAGAAGAGAGGTAGCTCAGGAAGTGTTCCCTGTTCAGAGAACAGTGCGTTTTTGAAGGGGGATGGCTGGCCTAGCTAATGCCCCATTGCGTGTTCAATCAGGGATGAGGCAATCGATGCGTTATACAGCCGCTTGGCTAAACTGATGCGACGCATACTTCCAGAGCACCCTATTTGTTCTGGCTGAGACACCAAGGTTAAAGATTGGGTTGATCATTGAACATGTCTGTGCGGATTAGGGAAAGGTTTAGTGATTTGTCGGCTTAATGTGTTACATCCAATAACTCGGCCCGGGCGAATGATGTGAGATAAGTAAACAAGCAGTTCTGAGTGTGGGAGGTGACTCGGTTTCTCGTGAATGTGTGGGTTGTTTCCTTGTTTTTCCCAAAATTTTCAACCAGGTTTCGTGTAGCAAATGTTCCTCCCGGTGTTATCACTGATCACTGACACGGTGCTGCAAATGAAGAAGAGAGGACTTTTTGTTCTTTCCTTTTTATGTCTGTAAAATTTCTTCTTTCAACATGTCTTTGTAACCTTTGGGTTTCAGATGAAAAAAACCTCCCAAAAATGTCCCTCGGATTTCTTATCTGCCTTTAAAGGGGTCAAAAAGCGGAAAATAAATCTACAGTTTACAAAATGAACTCAGGCTTGATGTCAGTTTTTGTGAAAAAATGATGAAAAAGCAACAGCAACAACAAAAAACTGTAAAATATATCTAATATGGAGCTAAAACTTCAAACACACCCATGTGGTCCTTTAAGATCTCTACCTGCGCAGCGTGGCCATGAAAAAGATCGCCGTCTGAAACCCCTTTAATCCGGGGAAAAGCCTTTAGGCCCTGGCTGTGTTTCTCACATACCAGCAATAACTGCTGGAGCTGGGTGGTGATGAATGCAGCTGCTGACATGTATCCAGCTCCTACAAGCTGGTGCCACAGTGCAGCTACACTGTACTATACACTGTGTGTGTTTGTGTGTGTGCGTGTGTGCATCTGTCAGCAGGGGGTGGAAGAATAAAGTCCCACTTCCTTATTAGAAAGGGCCCCAGCTGGCCCTCAGCTCTCCTCCAGTGGGAGTTAGTGCAACATTGTGCAGGAACCATCGGTTTTGTCAGGCTATTGGCCAAAAAAGCTCCTGAAGGCAGGCAGCCAGGCTGCATACACACGCACATTTGTCTCTTTCAGGGTCACACACAGGCATGCATGATAGGGGTTTTACACCCCCCTACACTCCCTCACCATGTCTTGTCAGATGGAAAATCCGGATTACCTTTCCCTCCAGTTCACTGGGCATTAATGTCCACTATTAGGTTGTCTTTGGAACCTAAGACCAGAGCACGAATGTCAAATATAGTTCAGGTTCACAAACAGCCAGACGACTGACCAGACAAAGCCTCCTGGGGGAATCACAAGAACAAAAACTTAAAGCGTCTAATAAAAAGCAGTAGCTGCTTAAACTTGCATGAGGTGCTGTGAATAAAGTTGTTGTTTTTTTAAACAGCACTTTCCAAGAGAGGCAGGAAGCCAGGTGATTGGGACAACTCATTACCAGTCACGGCTGAATGCTACCTCACTTCCAGCTGTTCACACATCCACATTCAGGCCTGCAGTTACGCTTCCTAAGTCGCATACTCAGACAGTGAGTGGTCTCCGTTTGTCGACAAGTAGCGACCGACCACAGGCCTCTCTGAACCGCAGAGCTGCGGGCTTTTGTGAGCGTGCATCGCTCAAGTTTACCCAGTTAGCTTTAGCAACAAATTCACAAATCATGTCCTTTCTGCTGGTTTTTTTTTTAAAGACAATATCAGACAGATTGCACAACAGTGGTGCAACACAGGCGTCTTCTTTCCCTAACCTCTGTTCAAGTTTGTTCTTGTAGTCATGCAGCTAAAAATATTTCACAAGTATTCTGCCCAGCAGATTACATTGCACAAATCAGTTATACCCTCATCACAGCCAGCTTTGAGACATCGAGTACAAGTCGACTGCATTTATTTGAAATGCGACGAAGGCCTAAAGACACAAGGACTTGTATGGATTAATTTGTTTGCTAAGATGCAAAATGTCAGGGGCAGCCTTCAGTAGTAAGGTTAACTCAACAAGGCAGATGGAGCAACATAAGTGTCATTCAGTTTTACTATGGCAACATGGTTACTGGGGAGATGTGTTTTAGAGCATCAGTAATATCCCTGCAGCTCTACTTTGAACACAAGTAGCCCATGTGTAACATAAGCTACTCCTAATAGATTTATTTATGAGACTGCTTTTGTCCACTGTAAAATCATCTCTTCTATCATTTTAATTAATACTGT